GTAATTTAACATTTATATTGAGGGCATTTAAACACCCAGGCCATCCAACTCAGAAATTCCACTCCTAGGACTTTCCAAAGGAAATCAGAGCTAAGCAAAATGTTTACATCCAAGGATGGCCACTGCAGCAGTACTTACCGAGCCAGAAACAAGGAACCTGTACGTTCAGAGGGCAGCACGGCGCACCCAGAGGAGGAGGGGTCCACAGCCACACAAGTACTAAGTTTTTAACAACACGGAACAGCATTTACGGAGAATTTATACTATGGTTTCGATTATAGTGAAAAAAAAAAAAAAAAAAAGCAGGCATGGAGAATATGGTGACTTCGCTTTTCTCTTCTACACTTTCCTCCCAATTATCTACCAGGATCACTACTTTACAACAACAAATAAAGAGGGAGATGTGAAAGAAAGACTCAGGGCCCCATGGGGATGACAAAGCCAGGCCCCCACTGACTGTCTGCAACTCCCCAAGAGCAGCAGCCAAACTCTCAGACCTCCCGCCCAGAGACGATGGGTTGCACCAGCCCCTGGGTCCCAGGCTGGGAGCTGCACCCACTGGGAAAGGCTCTCTGACCTCGGAGCAGACAAGTGCCCAGAGCAGAGCTAGCCGGCGAGGCACAGTGGTCCAGCCCCCGGTGCAGGGCCCCAGGTTTGACCGGTGACATGCCTGGAAGGACGGGAAGCTCTGTGGTGCTTTCAAGACAACACGAGTTACAGAGCCTGATGATTTCACAAGCCAGAGTACCAATTAAAATGATGGTCAGCAAACCATTTGAGTTTGCCTTCTCATGCATTTGCTTAAAAAGAAGAGGTTTTGTTTTTGTTTTTACCGAAAGTCTAATTCTGAACCTCTTGACCTTGGATTCCGTTCATTTCAGCCCAAGGCCCATCTAAGTGATACAGGCCCTGCTGACACCCCAACCACGTCCCTTTGGTGGCCGGGCCAGTTCACTGAGCACTCCCTGGCGTGTGCTCTGCTAACACCTGCCTCACTGCAGGCTAACGTGGGTTTTGTCCCTTGAGCGCAAAGAAGAAAGTGATTGTTAAGGCAACTTGGAAAATTGTCAAGTGGCATAGAAATACTCCAATCTAAGTCGACCCCAACCTGGTCACTGGGACCCCGAGGTTCTCTGGGAGTGGCACTACACTCAAGGCTGACTCCCTGACCTGGACTGGCCAGAGGCTGTGTGCGGGGGAGTGGCTGAGGTAGCTGCTGGAGAGGCTGTGGGACCAGAACGTTCTTGTTGGTGCCAACGTGTGGGCAGCACCCGCTTGGCATCCGGCCAGTGCCAACATGCCATGGACATGCCAGAATGGCAGACAGAGAGCAGTCAAGGGCACCTAAGGCAACAGGGTGCTGCCAGGGAAAGCTTCCTGGAGGAAGAGGCAGCCGAGCTAAGGCTGAAAAGAGAGGAGGAGCCAGCAAAGCAGTGGGAGGAGAGGAGAGCATCCTGGGTAGAGGACCGCACAGGCTCACCAAGAACACCAGCGGATTTCTGGAGCCAGAGAGAACTTCAGGATGGTGGAGGGACAGTGCGTGACCTGAGATGAAGCTGCAGGACTGAGAGGGCACACGCCATCGATGCGAGGGCTTCTTGGCTCTGTGCCTCTTGCAAGGAAGCAGAGTCTCTACAGGGCGACATCACAGACGCTGGGAGCCCAACAAGGCCTCCCGGGGGAGCCCTAAGGCAGAGCAGATGCAGGCTGAGCCCAGGACCCCAACAAAGGTGGCCCGGAAGCCACACTCAGGTCCCAAATGCCCTTGGTAGCTCCCCAAAAAGCTTACATGATTTCAGGGACTTTCCAGGGCAACTTCAGCACGACCCTGACCTTGTCTCCTCTTCCGCCCCCTTCAGGCAGACGGGAAGATGAGGAGCAGGTCTTCCAGCTCTAGGAGCACCATTCCGCGTCTATGAAGCAACAGGGAGCACTGAGACACTCTAACCAGAGTCGCCCCTGGCAACAGTCGGCCACCCGCCTGCTGCCCGTGGGCAGCCACACCTTTCCAAGGCCAGTCCTTCTTGGGGGGGCCTTACAAGCACCCCGGTCTGATGCCAGCAGATGTGGCAGCCCCCTTTCAACATAGGACGAAAGAGGGACCTGCCCATGCTTCTCTCACACACCTGCTGCTCTCTTCCAAGTCAGCAAACACTAACAGCTGCTAGAAGTTCCAAACCACGACCCAGGCAGGTGCTGAACACCCGTCCATCTCCCCGTGTCACCTCAGCCCATGCCCAGCTCAGACCCACCCAGGCTGATGCTGCGATGCAGAGGCGCGGGAGCTGTGAAAACCCTCACTTCCCGCGCCACAAGGCCCAGCTCTCGTAGGCCCCAAAATTCGGCAGGCGTTGGCACCAGGAGCTGGGAGAGGCTAGGTGGAGAGGTTCCAGAAGCGCCCTCACAGCAGGGAAGCGTTGCTCCAAGCCCGCGCAGCGTGCTTGGCCCTGGGAACACAGAGAGGAGGAAGAAAGAAAGGGTCCTCGCCCCGGGTCCAGTCCCCAGAGAGCCCCGTCAGGGCAGCTAGCGGTGCCGGGTCCACCTCCTCCTCAGTTCACCAGCCAGGCGGTCACTCCAACACCTACAGGGCCAGGGGGAGGTTGGGACCTGGCCTTCCAGGAAGGAGGGTGAGGGTGACATCTGAGACTTGAAACCAGGCACCCCACAGAGGCCGGCACTGCCAACGTCGCCCTGGTCAGGTGCTGGGTCCTAGGCAGATGGGACCTCCACAGCACCCCGGCCCAGCCCCAGACCACGGGAGCACTCAGCAGGTGGACTCAGCGCAGACAGGCTCGTAAATGCACAAAACCAAGATACTCTTGCCTCTCAAGAAAGCTTATTAAAAAAGCAATCCACCAAGTGCCTGGGACAGAAATGAAGGGAGAAGTGGGAGGAGGCAGGTGACAGGGAAGGCGGAGCTCTGTCACCTGCCTGGTGGCACAGCCCACTCCCAGACAAGCTGGCAAAGGGAGGGTCTCTTGAGGACCCTGGAATCCCCTCCTCCACCTGGCCACATGCTGCTGAGGTCAGCAACTTCCAGGCCCAGGGTCTGGCAGCCCACAGCAGGGGAGGCATCCCGCTGACCAGGCACAGCCTGCTCCATTCCTGCTACACACATCCACCCCGGGGAGGGGGCGCCGGGGCCTTCCTCATGCAGCACCCCAGGGCCCCATCTGCCCCATCTGGTCCTCCCACTCCTGGCTGTGAGGCCGGCTGGGCCTCCTGCTCTGCTGCACAACTTCCGGAGAAGAGTGACCAGGGGCCTTTTACCTCTGGTGACCCAAAGGGAAAATCAGCCTCAGGAAGCAAAGCGGCAGGAAGAGTGCCCTAGTCGCAACATACGGCAGAGGCCACCTCTGCTGAGCAAGCTTTCTTCAAAAGCACCAGGCCTCTTGGCAACCCCCAGAGCAGGTTCTGCATTCTCCCCTCCTGGGCTCTCCCACACTAAATTCCCTCTGGCAGACAGGATGCTGCCCACCCCCATCTCCCACTACTGCAGCAGGGAGGCGCCCACCTAGCCTATTGGGGTGGGTCAGTGCCCAGTTCCAGGGGCCTACAGCCCTGGGAAGGCAGGAGGGTGGGTGGCAGCTACAAGCTCCCAGGCCCAGCATGTTCTAGTTCAGAGCAGCTGGACCATAGAGGCAGGTGCTACACCAGGAAAGTGCTTCTGTCGGAGCAGACCAAGGGCTGGGCAGGAAGCAATACTTCAAGAGCCCTGGACAGGCAGATGTGTAATCGCTGCGGTCCTAAGGGACCCCGAACATCACTCTCAGACCGGGAGCTGCTGTCTTTGGGGGCGGAGGGGAGACCACGGGAAAGTGGGAGGGGCTCCCCCCAGCAGCAGGGCCCCAACCTGCTGACAGTCTGGGAAAGACCACAGGAAAAGGGCCGAGCAGGGAGAGCAACGCCATGGCCCATATTCAGCTCCGGACTGGCAGGGCACCTGACTTTTACCCCCAAACATACCAGAGACCCTGCACCTTCCTGATCCCACAGACAGCAGATGAACACAACTATGTGGGTCACACAAGCTCTCCATCTCTAGCTTGTCTGTAAATGCAGTGCCAGGGCCGATACAGAAGGCAAACCTAAAGGCAGACAGAAAGACCTCCCTTCTGGCCCTTCCCAGCCCAGACATCCTGGGGAGAAGGCCCCACGGGGCACGGGCACGAACAGCAGAAAAAGAATCTCAACTTTTAACCACGTGAAACCCAGCACTGCTGGGGCTTCTGGCTACAAAGTGATTCCCAAGAGAGCTGCCTCACACACGGGGCAGCCTCGTACCCCCAACCTCCACAGACATGGGGCGCCCCAGGAAAGGCGTCTGGCTGCACAGGTACCCCGACCAGCTGCTCCCCACAACCTGGCTGCTGGCCCCCTTTTGTTCCTCTTTCAGAGCGAGCTTGCGCCCGGTTCTGGCCAACTAACGACCGGAGGCGGCACTGCCTCCTCCCCGCCCAGGTCACACTCCGGCCTTTGTTCCACCTGCACAGCCCGGCGGGCAGAGCCAGCCCGCCCTGGCAGCTCCTCCCGGGAGGGCTGGGGGCCCCACAGGTGCAGGGGGAGAGGCCCTGCACGCTCTCACTTCCGCTCTGGGTATGCGAACCACGCGGGGCAGCGAACGCTCCAGGTGGGCTACACACGGACCGGACCCCGCATTCCCGCCCGACCACCCAAGGCCAGCCCGGACCCACACTGGGCAGGTGCGGGCCCGAGGGCAGTGGGCAGTGACCGGAGGCCGCCCAGGCACTGAGGAGCCTGGCGGGCGGTGCACAAAAGCAGAGAAGCACAGATGAGGTGAGAGCGAGGTCAGACAGCAAAGGACACAGTGGGCCCAACCAGATAAACTAGGGGCCTCCGGCGCCCAGCAGGTCAGGAGCGGTCCAGAGGAGTTGCGGCGAGTGACGGCCACAAGAGGGCAGGAGAAGAGGGCGGGGCACGGCCCGGGGGAGCAACCACAAGCAGGGACCCGACGGCGCGGCCACGCGGCGGGCGCTCACCTGGGCGTGCGCAGCGTGGCGGGGTCGCGGCGGTCCAGAACGCCGGGCACGCAGTTGGTGAGCTCAGTCCAGTCGGCGTGCAGCCCGCAGCTCCAGCCCGTGGAGAAGCGGGAGAAGAGCCAGGTCTCGCGGCGGTTGGGCCGGTAGCAGGTGCACTTCTTCTGGCCGGGCCGGCAGTCGCAGGGCACCTCGAGGCGCACGTTCTGCACGAGGTGGCGGCCGAAGGTGGTGCCGCCCGTCTTCTGGATGTGCAGAAAGACGATCACGTCGTCGCCTTTCATGTCGAAGCGCAGCGAGCGCTCCAGCTCGCGCACCGGGAAGTAGTACTTCTTCTCGTAGTGCGGGTCGGGCGTGGGGAAGAGGTCCAGGTCGTCGGGCGGCGCGCGGCCGCCGGGCGCGCCCAGGCTCAGCCCAGGGCCCGCGTACTGGTACAGGATGAGCATGAAGCACGCCGAGCCCGCCACCACCAGCACGAACTTGCTGGCGCGCTCAACCATGGTCCTGCCGCCGGCGCGCCGCCGCCGCATGTGTCACCATCGCCGGCGGCCCGGGCGCGGGGCGCGGGGGCCT